CCGGGCCCCCGCCGCGCCGGGGGGCGGCCGTTGGGTGCTGAGGGGCGGAGGGGGCGGGGCGGCAGCTCAGGCGGGAGGGATCCGAGCGGTAGCGAATGCCTGGATGCCTTTGCAGGCCGAAGGTTTAATGCCGCTGTGAAGATATTAATAGGTTTCCTCGTGTCTCGAGGGTGCCGTAAGGATATTTGAAGATTTTTGATGTGACTGTCGTGGTTTAACCCCAGCCAGCAACTAAGCACCACACAGCTGCTCACTCACTCCCCCACAATGGGATGGGAGAGACAATCAGAAGACTGAAAGTGAGAAAACTCATGGGTTGAGGTAAAGACAGTTTAATAGGTAAAGCAAAAGCTGCGTGCACAACCAAAGCAAAACAAGGAATTCAGTCACCACTTCCCATCGGCAGGCAGGTGTTCAGCCATCCCCAGGAAAGCAGGGCTCCATTACACGTAACGGTTGCTTGGGAAGACAAACGCCATCATGCCAAACGTCCCCCCCTTCCTTCTTCTTCCCACAGCTTATATACTGAGCATGACTGATCATACGGTATGGAACGGCCCTTTGGCCAGTCTGGGTCAGCCGTCCTGGCTGTGCCCCCTCCCAGCTTCTTGTGCACCTGGCAGAGCATGGGAAGCTGAAAAGTCCTTGACCAGTGTAAACTCCACTCAGCAGCAACCAAAACATCAGTATGTTATCAACATTATTCTCATCCTAAATCCAAAACACAGCACTGTACCAGCTACTAGGAAGAAAATTAACTCTATCCCAGCTGAAACCAGGACAGTGTCTCCCGGGAAGCTGCGGGCTGCGGAAACTGGTTTCCTTGAGGGCAGAGAGGAAAGGTTAGGTGGTGCGTGGCATGAGAGCAACTCAAGGATAGAGAAGGATTACTTGGGAAAGGTATGGTGGACACATGGCTGGGGAAGCTCTGCTTAGTATCAGCTCGGTGCCTGACTGTAAATTTTACTCAATCATAATGCTCTGTATTTTCATAATTCCCATTTGAGGTATGCAGGAGTTATTCTAAAGAATTATACCAGGAACATTTAAGCCTCTTTTCTCTGTAACAGATTACTGTGAGTAATCTGTTTTAGTAGCTGCTTCTGGGTAACTTGCTAGAGCTGCTAGGTGATTCATCAGATCATTATGCAAACAGCCATTAGTTTGAAGTGATAAAAGCTAACTCTAAAATTGCATTAAAAGCCCTCTGTTTGTAAAGTGAAAAAATGACTGCCTGTTTTGGGGGATTCGTTTGTTTTTTTTTCTGGAATGTTTAATTTTCTGTGAAATCAGACAGATAGACAAAAAAGCACAACTGCATAGCAGATTTGGTATATATATGTTCGTGTACACATTGGCAATTTCTTTTAATTACATAGTCAACAGCAAAGGGATTGGAGGCAACTTGAGAAGAAATTTACTGTGACCTCTCCCTCCAGAGAGGTTAAATAATGCCTGTATTGCTTTTCACAAATACTTGTGTAACAATGAACAGATCTGTCTGTAAGCAAAATTAAATATGTTGTTACAGATTAACAAATATCAGGATTACTTGGTAAAATATCTTTGTGATAAAGGATTGAAACATCATCATGTTAGGAAAACAGTTTAAAGTAGGATTTGTATTCCTAAAATCGTAAGAATTGGGAAAAAATATTTTAAATTCATCATCCCTCAGCGTGGACAGGAGAGTCAAAGGATGTGGCTAAAATAAACTACTGCCAGGTTCACATGAGATGCCTACAGTGCTGTGTTGGGTCGCTTCTATGGGTATCCTGGCAGGAGGGTTCCTGGGTTGGGATGCACTCCCAGTATCCATATTCTGAGTCTAAGTATTTCCAAGCTCTCCCAGGCACATCTACACTATACGTTGCACATACTGTCCCTGGGCACAGCACTTACCCGACTTGTTGCCTGTTATTCCCAGGCCTTTCTAGCACTTCTGGCTCAGTCACAATTTATTTGTTCATAGCAATGAGCAAGTGTGCTACTCCATGATACAGGAGCCAGTCCTGTATGAAAGACCACACCTAACACTACCCTTCAATGCCTTTGTTAACCTTGCAGTGCTGACATGTCCTAACAAGGGGTGACTTGAAAACTTGAGGAAATTTAGTCACGGGGAGCTCCAGGGAGCTCTGGACAAAGGCCGATGCTGGAGTGCTTCCTGTTGGACCAGCCATGTACTCTATCTTGTTGGTGCTGACATTGTTTTGATTTCAGCATGGGATTCTTCTTAGCCTCTCTGCATTTCACACTCAAGACATAGCCAAAATGTTGGAAGTCATAATTGCTGATGATGCCTAGAGTCTCTCAGGGGTTCTCAGTATACACACAATGAAAACCTCTGATGAGATCAGTGTTCTTCAGATGTGGGGATAAACAAGACTGACACCTAATTTCAGCATGTGAAAAGCTACTTTAATGGTTTGTCAGGAGCCCACATTGTTCCTGAACACCAGAGAAGAGATGACCAGGATCCCATCCTGGTCCAGGAGCAGGTGGCAGTTCTTCCTGGACTCGTCCAGGCACCTAGTAGATGCACGGTACAGCGGTTCTGCAGCTGATTCAATCCAACTTTGAAGCTAGCCCACCTTTGAGCAGGCAGTTGGACTACCTTTCAATGTAAATGCAAGAGCGCTGCACATTTCATAAGACCTCCTATCCAAAGGCTCAGTTAATATAGTAGTTAATATAGCTAATGACACATTTTCCTGTCTATTCTTGTAAAAGATCATCATTATGTGAAAAAGATTCTTGCTTTACTCTCAGCTGTTTACTGTCTGGCTATAGAAAATGAAAGGTTGACACTTGAGCTATATTCTTAGCCTGTACCACCAGGACTTATGTTTTGAGTGCCTTTTTTTCCCATTTCAGTTCAGGCTGGAATGAGTAGATGTAACCTCAAGCGTGGCATAACGCGTAGTCATGATCTGCCTGAAGACTCCCCAAAATACCTTATATCCAAGGCAGAAATGTCTTTTCAGTCTTAGGCAGTAACCTGTGCTATGCTCAGCCTCTGGAGGGCCTACAGCCTTCCCACAGTGCCACCTCCAAGTTAGGTTATACCTGGGCTGGAGAATCTGACCACAACCTACCTGTCTGTGCGTGGGTTTCAGCTTGCCTAACGTAACACTGTGGTGGGTGAGAAACAGCATATTGCTATTACTCCAGTGTGAACCTTTGTTTACAAAGGCATCTCAGTGTTGGATTTGGAAATGTGCTTTCTTCTCAAA